AGACAGACAGACACACAGACAGACAGACACACAGACAGACAGACACACAGACAGACAGACACACAGACAGACAGACACACAGACAGACAGACAGAAACCCTCCTGAGCGCATTGTCCGGGTAGTTCTGCCACAGGCCGCCGACCCAGTGCGATATCGGCTTCATCCTTCATCAACATGCCAGCTCCCGAGTCTCCAACCCGCAGCCGAGCACAAGGTGACTGGCACCAAGATACACAGCACCTCCCTTCCTTCTATTCACCTCGAACACGACCCCTCGATCACCCAGACAGTCAAGTCACCAGCAATCCTGACAGTACCGGGCCCGTCCGAAACCCCGACACTAACATTAATATCGACCACCTCGCAAGCTTATCCTCTGTACCAACGACGCTCCGTCACGACGATGCCTCCTCCACAGTGCAACTACCACCTCCATCCCTCCTCTCTCCCGCTTTCACTCCTCCCGCAACCCCCGGCAGTCTGACGCCAAATCAGCATGCAAAACAAGATGCTACACCCCGCGGCGTACCCGTAGACAGCTCCATCCCGAGCGGAGGCTGCGGTACCAAACGTCCGCGTCTCCTCGACAGCCTCCCCAACGTACAATGCGTTGTGCGGGCCCGCATCCCCACCGTCACAGGAACCGAGATGTTTCTCCACCTGTACACCAACGACATTGATAACAAGGAGCACCTCGCCATTGTCTTCGGCCCCCATATCCGAAGTCAATCACTTGACGCCCCGCAACCGGGCGAGACTGAACTGGACAGGATGATCCGCGGGGCCTATACCGGCCGGTTATACCCGGGCCGTACGACCAGTGGTATATCGTCGGCACAGAATGATGAAGGCGAGAACAGCAGCAGCAGCAGCACGACCACCACCACCAGTGCGCCAGCGGAGGAGTCCCAAGCCCAGACCGAGCCACCCCTGGTACGCATCCATTCGGAATGTTACACCGGCGAGACGGCGTGGTCGGCCCGGTGCGACTGCGGCGAGCAACTGGACGAGGCGGCACGGCTTATGAGCTTGCCCGGGAACACCAGCGGCGGGATTATCATCTACCTGCGCCAGGAAGGCCGGGGGATCGGGCTCGGGGAGAAGCTCAAGGCGTATAACCTGCAAGATCTTGGCTCCGACACCGTTGAGGCCAACCTCCTTCTGCGGCACCCGGCCGATGCGCGCAGTTACGGCCTAGCCACCGCCATGCTGCTTGACCTGGGCCAGACGGAGGTGAGGCTGCTGACGAACAACCCCGACAAGATCCGGGCTGTCGAGGGGCCCAACCGTGAGATTCGGGTTACGGAGCGGGTGGCCATGGTGCCGCTTTCGTGGAAGGGAAAGGGCGGGTTCCGGAGTCGGGAAGTTGAGGGTTATCTCAAGACCAAGGTATGTTTCCAAACCTCTTCTTTTGCGCTCATTATGAACTCCCGCTTTTAGCGCAGTACTGACTTTTGTCTATTGCAGATCGAGAAGATGGGACATATGCTAGATGCAGCCATCATGCCGCGGACTTGAGTAAAGCCAGCAAATTTTATCAGGGGCACCCGGGATCATCAATGGATGTTGCTATAGTCGTATCACATGAAATATGCACTGGAGGGCACGGCATTCGTAGGCGGCAAGACTGGTTACCGACAGAGGAAATGCATTTGAAAAAGGCGTCAAGGTAAACTCGGATATTCTGCTACATTTCCATGTGCATACGCGAGGATATATTTTATAGTCTGCGCAATCTGACATTTTGTATCTACCAAGCATTTAGGTGCATGGATGCCGTCAAAATACGAATCCATTCTCAACTGAGTCATCGAGCAATACAAATTTAATTTGTTTGGGGGGGTTAAACTTTTTTTCTTCCATTATCCCCCCCCGGGGCCTATGCTAATGCGAAAGGGCAAAAGGAGACCTACTATTGTGGCAAATTGAAGCAGACGCTGTATGTCACGTGAGCAGATCTTCGCCGGGAACCGTTTCGTCGTTGATTTGTCGTTGCTAGTGAGGTCATGGCCAGACATTTGTCAGCCTTGTCCACCTTCATTCAGCCTTCTAGAAACCTCAACGGAGCCCGCGTCTTTTGTGATTGCCTATTAAATGCCAACCGACCCTCATTACTTTGTCCTAGTTTGAAATCTCTCTTCATATCCATCCCACCATGGCAGATGTAGAACCGAACGTCGCACAAGAACCTTCGGCAGGCAGCGAAGCCGCCCCTGCGCCGGTCGCAGTGTTCAAGCGTCGCGGTGCAAAAGGCAAGGCTAACATCCGGAAGAGGCCAGCGACACCACCACCTGCAAACAGCGACTCCGATTTAGACTACTCCTCCTCAGAAGACGAAGCAGGGCAGCGCATCAAACGGCGCAAGAAGAACACGGGCACCGTGACAGCGTCGTCCAGGAACAACGCCGCCAAACCCCAAGACCTTTCCGCCACCACGTTTTCCGCAGACCGCAGCGTTCCCATCTCCAGCGCAAATGATGCCACCAAGGCGAGCAACTGGTACGACGAGGACGCCAACGGCGCCTTGTCGGCGAAGAACCTGTTGGGTAGCACGCGGTCCAGCGCGAACCAGTCCGACGCGCCGGATGGAACATACAGGGGACTCGCAATCCAGACGTCCTTTGTCAAGAAGAACCCGGATGCTCCGAATCGCTCCTTCGGGCCCATCAAGGCGCCTACAAATATTCGAACCATTACTGTTACAGATTATGCTGCAGATACCTGCAAGGATTACGTAAGTCGCCTGCTCCCCCCGGCACTCAGTGTGACAATTTGAGAGATGGATGTGAGCTAACTTTGCCAAAGAAACTAACAGGGTTTTGCGGATTTGTGAGTAGTATCTTTTTTTCTTTTTTCTTTCTTTTTTCTTTCTTCTTCCTCTGCTGGTCACCAAACTGCTCTTCTGTTTTCTAGACCAGCTGCTAACAATGGTACCTCGTGATCAGGGAGACTCATGCAAGTTTGCACATTCCCGCGAAGATTTCAAGCAAGGATGGCAGCTCGACAAAGAATGGGAGAATGTCACCAAGGGAAAGAAAAACTTGGGCGGAACCGTGGTGGCGAGCGCGAACAAGAGCAAGGTGGCCAATGCCGTCGACGACGAAGACGACGACGAGGCTATGCTTGAAAACATCCCCTTCGCATGCATCATATGTCAGGAACCATACAAGTCGCCCGTTGTCACGAGATGTGGGCACTACTTCTGCGAGCCTTGCGCTCTCAAGAGATTTAGGAGGGATCCGAAGTGTGCTGCCTGCGGGAGCGGTACGAACGGTGTGTTCAATTCTGCGTCCAGGCTGAAGAAGCTTCTAGAGAGGAAGAGGGAAAGAGAAGCGAGGAAACGTAGAGAAGCTATCGAGGCGGGAGAGGAGGTCAGTGACGAGGACGAGGGGCAGAATTCCGAATAATATGAATGGCAAGCTGGCAAGCTAGCTGGCTAGCTGTGTATGAATGACTATTCAGCGCAGTCTTTGATGAATATTGAATATTATCTTAATGAGCTAGCTGTTTTGGTTGAATTGACGGGAGCGTGCTTATAGGGAGCGTTGATTCAGGAAATATATAATCGTATTATGTATAAAAGAGAAAGAAAAAGGGGGCGGGTATACGTGTCCAAAATATATCTACCACCTTCTAAGCGAGGATAGTAGGGCGCCTCTAACTAATAGGAGGTTATTATACCGTGGCTTATGTGATAGAATATAATACACCCCCTAATTATTAAGCCGTGATTAGCGGAATAATTACTTAGCCTAACCTTAACCTAGCCTTATTTTTAACCTTAAAATAGCCTTAAAGGGTCGTGTAATACCCTTAATATCGAGTTAAAAGGCAGGAACAAAAGCTATAAAATAGTAAAGAATAATAATAATAGTAGTAAATAATAAAGGAAAAGTGCTATTAATAGTAGTAGTAAATAGGTGATAGTAAGGCCTTCCGTAGATAAATTAAAGGCGTTATACCGGCGTTGTAAAGCTTTTAGATCCTCCCTCTTATAACCTCTTATACCGTTGTTTTTTCGAGGATTTTTTAACGATTTTAAACTAATTTTTCCGAATTTTCCTATTAATAGAAATAAAAATAATAATAATAGCGATATAGTAAGTATCGGAGCTTTGTTTTTAGTGGCGCGTACTAACTGGTAGCATTATTTAGGCTCCTCCTACTCTCTCGGCGGTTACTTTTACGGCTACGGCGAAGAAGGCTTTGTCTAATAGCGTTAAGAAGAATAAGGGTAAGGGTGCCGGTAAAAAGGGTGCTGCTATAAGGTATTTTAGCGCGTTTATTCTGGATCTAATTACTCTAGACCTTAGCTAATTCCTAATAGACTATTAAGGGTAATAGTAATAATAATAATAACGATACCGATACCGATAACGATTTTATTCTAGTGCTATTCGAACCGCCCTGCCTTAAATATGTAAAGGGCATTTATTCTAGAAAACAGCGCTCCTTTAATTACTATATTTCTATTCCTAAGCGCTCTAATAGGTGCTAAGGATAGAAACTATATATACTACCCTTTATAAGTTCTTACCCCTTATCTAAGGCGCTTTATTATTATTAATCTTACTCCGCTATCCTAACTAATCTATAATTATTATTATTTTAGGAGCCTTTCTAGGCTATACGGTCCTTCTCGGGTGGCTATAGAGGGGAAAACCCAGGTTAAACCCGGGGAAAACCTCTATATACTTCCTTAGGTGGAGTAGTGCCGCTACGGGGCCAACGTGGCCCCGGTTTATCTCTACTACGTATCTGGATTATACCTCTAGGCTAATAGCTAACGGGAAGTGTGGCAGGCTAATAGATAGGTAGGTTAGCCTAAGCTAATCGTTAGCGGCGGAGTGGAGGCTAAGGGGGGTACCGCCGCGCCTCCGCGGTATAGTAGTTATATCCCTTTAGCCTCGGCCTCCCTGCGTCTCCGAGGATTATGCCTTTTATTCCTTCCGTTCGGTTAATAAAGAGTATAGGGGAGGCAGGCGCCTCCTGCCTCCCCTAGGTAGGTTCCTGCTATATCTAGCGGTAAGTAGGGAGGATAATACTCCACCCTATTATAAAATTTAGATAGTTAATATCCTACGAGGTCTTTATACCTCTTTTCCTCTCTCTTCCTCCTATAACGCTAACGAGTTCGTTATAGGTTTTCCTCCTAATCTATATCCGTTTACGGTGCTATAGGCTTATCGTTACGGCTCTATACTAATAGTAAACCCCTTTAGTTTTCCTTATTATTTCTCTCTTATAATTTAACTATAAATGCTTTATAGGTAGCGTCGCGGTGGCGTGGTGGCGTAGGGGTTAACTAGGTAGTATAGTATCGATTTATATATATAAATAAGTAATCCGAAGTGGTAGTATAATATAAGTTCTTTTCGTGGCGTAGCGGTGCCTTAGTGGTAGCGTGTTAATAGTTATAGATATTATCTCCTAATAACACTAACACTAATAATACTAACCGCCGCTATAAGCGCGGTATAGTTCGTATCCTACTATATATAGCCCTTAGTAGCGTCGGAGTAGTATCGTAGCGTTAACGTGGGGTAGTTATATTCGTTATAGTAAGCGTTTAGGTATTTACCCCGACGATATAGAAGCTTACGCTAATACCACGGGAATAGGCGCGGCCTATTACTAGTATACTAATAGTCGCCGTCTATATAAGGATATAAGTCGCTTCGGTGCCGTGGTAGTGCCGTGTATACGTCGTGGTGGTCGTAGCTAATAGTTCGATAGGTCCCCTCCGCTACTAAGAAGTAGCAGTAACGCCTTATAGATATTTATTAGGTATATATAGCGGTAAAGGCCGCTAATAGCGCGGGTATCGCTACTATAAGTATCCCCTTTCGGTGCCGTGGTAGCTCCACGCTAATAAGTTATAGGCTAAGGAGCGCCTAGGGACGGTATCCCGGTCTTTTAGCCGGGTCCTAAACCGGGTATTACCTTCCGGTTGCGGTCGCGGCGGTACCGTGTCGGTAAAGGTGTAGGAGTTATCTCGTTAGATAAGACGTTTAGAGGCTAAGATAGATCTAATCCTAAAAGACCTTATAAGTAGCACCCCCTTAGTCTTATTATAGCTCCCTAGCGGTATTAGTTAGCTAATTAGTCTAGTAGGGTCTCGAGTATATTAAGAGCAGTGTTAGTGCCTCCAAGGGAGGTAATAACGATAAGAGCTAATCTATACCATACTAATACTATATCGTTACCACCGGGGTCCCGGCTTATAGGGCCCCTATCCTAATAATTAATTAGTCGTCGTGTCGTCTTATTCCCGATACGGTCTCGCTTCGGTATCGCGGGTGTTTTCGTAGGCCTGTATAACTTCGAGGGCGAGGCGGAAGTCTTTAAGCCTCTTCCGTTATAGGAACCACCTTATAACTATCCCGGCCTCGGTATCGTGTTCTAGTGTATTGTATAAATCTCCTTTAGTTATAAGTAGCATCCTTATAGCACCGAAGAGGTCCTTATAGTCTTCCTCGGTTACCTCCTAGTACTAGAGTACTATATACTCCGCCGTTTCCGCTCCTCCGTCTCCGTAAAGGCACCACGGTAATAGGAAGCCCGGCACTCTCGTTTTAGCTAGGAATACCCGTAGGCCTAGTTTTTCTAATCTAATCTAGGTAAGTGCGGAGCTCTATAGCTTAAGGAGCCCTCTATATTTCCAGAGGGAGCGTTATATCGGGGGGCGGCTTAGTACCGTTACGGCGTAGGTCTAGGGCCGCCATGCTTCCGCCTAGGCTTAACCCTATTCCCTTATAAGGGCCTTCCTCGAGGGCGAGGTTCCGGCCTAAGTCGTTAGGGCGGTAAGCTATACTATCCATGCGAGGGCGGCGTGAGTCCTATAATACCGGTTCGGTGCCGCTAAGGCTCTCGCTGCGGTATATACTCCGGCTAATATCTTATCTTCGGTCCTTTCTTCTTATATCCGGAGGATCTTTCGGGCACTTAGGCTTAAGAGGTATAGATTAAGGGGGGGATAAAGGTCTTTTTTTCGAGGAGCCTAACCGGCGTGGCTTTATAGGCTCCGGCTACTAGTCGGAGGTATCGGTTCTATACCGCTATAAGTGCCGCTACCGGGCCGTGCTAAAGGCCGGCCCCTATTTTATAAACGGTTAAGGCATAATAGGCGATTATTAGTCATATAACTACGAGGTATATTCTCCTTACGTCTACGAAGTTATACTCTTACGCTACCGCCCTAAGCCTCGAAAAGGCGTATATTTAGGTGGCTAGGCGGCTTTTTACCTTTTTAGTATTTTATCGGAAGTTAAGCTTCCTATCGAGCTAAACGCCTAAAAGCCTTATCGCCTCCGCTACCGGTACCGAAATAGCACTAAGGGGGAGCGGGGTAAGTAAGGGTTAGCGTGACTTCGTGAAAGGGATATAGATATACTTAGCTGGTTCGAACTATAGTCCGCTCGCTATCTTTTAGTCTAGGTATATCCGCTACGCGGCGGCGAGGCGTTACGGCGTCTATACCTCCATTCTACCGAAGGCGATAATATTCGTATCGTCGGCGAAATCTATTACTATCGTTTTAGGAACCCTTTCTAGTTCTTCGTATAGGGTGGAGATATAAAGGATAAAGAGGATAGGGGAGATCGGGGAGCCCTACGGTATACCCTTATAGAGGTATCGCGGGGGGGCCGTTTTGCTATTAAGTACTAGCTAGGCTATACGGTCTTAAAGAAAGCTACTAACTAGGGTAGTAAGCTACTAGGGGAAGCCTTTCCTTTCGAGTATCTTCAGGAGGCGAGGATAGGGGATAGTATTAAAGGCGCCTTTAATATCTAGTTAGAGTATTAAAGCGGTACCGCTATAGGCCTAGCTCGCCCTTACGGCCTCTATAACTCTTTATACTACCGTCTTTATACTTCGCCCTATCCGGTTTCCTATCTATTCTTCTAGGAGGAGCCGATACTCCTCCGCTATAGTAGTAATCCGATCGGCTAGTATCCCCTTAAGGACCTTACCTATTATACTAAGGAGTGATATCGGTCGCTAGCCCTTTACTATCCTATAGTCGGCCGGCGGCCGGCCTTCCTTCTTAAGGACTAGTACGGTGGTATAGCGGCACCTTTTCGGGTAATAGCTTACTTCGAGGTACGCTATAAAGATAGTACTAAGTCTTTAGTGTATAGGGGGTCTATATACTTTTAGGAGCCCTACTAAGAGTCTATTTAGTCCTAGTGCCGCTTAGGGTTTCGTCTTCTTAAGGCGCCCTTATACGTCCGCTACGGTGATATCTCGGCAGACGTCCTACCCCGGGGGGAATTCCGCGCCTAAGGGTCTAAGGGCGGTAGGGGAGGGGGGGGGGGGGAACTTCCAGTTAAGGACTTCGGCTTTTTCTGCGTATATAGGTACCGGGTTATCGCTATCGTCTTAGTATAGTGGTAGCACCGATAGGGGGTCCGGCGGTACTCCCCTTTTAATTCGTGCTTATTTCTATAACCGCTAAAGAAGGCTATCGTTCTTCCCAGTCGAGTAGAGTAGATACTATTAATATAACCGCTTCGCTACCACTATAGCCTTATCTCGGCGCCTCTCCACTTCCCAGAACTCGTCCTATCAGTTCCGAAACTTCCTGGATATATATCTACGGTGGAGGCGCCTTATTTCCTGGGTAAGG